CCCTGGACACAGAACATTTAAAACAAATAATAAATTCCAACAATCAAGATTCATGGTATTTATAAAACACACCCACTCACACACACACACACACACCCACTCACACACACACCCACTCACACACACACACACACACACACACACACACATACATACACACACGCACACACCCAAACAATACACACACAAAAAAATACAATAAAGCCCCTCAGAATAGCGCGTAAACATCAATAAATCCTTTGGATTAGTAATCTATTTTGCCGCAAGCGGTGCGGTGTTTTCTTTTCCAGTGACTTGTTCTTTGAAAAAGTAGTCTAACATTTTCCACATTGCCCAGCCTCCAACTTCGACATAATAATATGGAAAGTAAACTTACACTAATACAGGAACATTCCAAGAACCTAACTTGATCAAAAACAATTTTTTTTTTTAAATCCCAAACTTCCAAGAATCTGTCTCCATCAAAACAAAAAAACCCAACAAACTCCCAAAGAATTTAACTCAATTGAGATTCTTTTTTTAACTTACAATAATTCTAGATCTACTTGATCTTGAAGAAAAAATGCCCCCCCCCCAAAAAAAAAAAAAAAAAACCCACACAAAAACAATACAACAAAAGAAAACCGCTACATTTTTAACAGAAAATATCTTTAAAAAGGCAGCAACCCAATAATCCAGAATAATTGCGAAGTGAAATCGTTACTAAACGCTGGTCGTGACATCCCGATTGAATATCAACAACATTTGGTTGTGAGTCGAGCCACGGTTCCTGTTCTGTCCTTCTCTCTTCCCGTGGAGCTGTCTGTAATTTGAGCTGTTGGTTTCTGTTATCGGGGAAAACAGCACAACGAGCAGTGACGAGAACACAAAACAACAATATTGTTTCCATGTTAGTCTTCTCCACAGTCTTCTTCATACTCTTCTTCCGGTTCCTCATACTCTTCTTCTGGTTCTTCTTCTGGTTCTTCTTCTGGTTCTTCTTCCGGTTCCTCACATTCTTCTTCTGGTTCCGGTTCTGGCTCCTCTTCAGGTTCCGGTTCTGGCTCTTCTTCCGGTTCCGGCTCTTCTTCCGGTTCCGGTTCGGCCTCCGGTTCTGGTTCCGGTTCCGGTTCGGCCTCCGGTTCCGGGGCTGCTTCCTGTTCCGGCTCAGGCTGCGCGCCCTGTCCGTCCGGCGCATCCGGTTGTGGCTCCTCGGAGACTTCGTTGCCGTCGTCGTCCACAACGATGATGGTCTCGTTGACGATGTGCACGTGCTGGTGCTGATGCACATGGATGTCCTGAGAGACGTGGTGGTGGTGGTCGTAGCTGTCGTTGGAGAACCAGCTCATGATTGAGTCCCAGGAGATGCCGCTGATCGAGTCCCGCTTGTGCACCTTCTTCTTCTTCTTCTTCTTCTTTTTCTTGTGCGAGTCTACATCGTGGTGGTTGTTGTACCCAGAGTTGTACCCGTACCCGGGATCGTATCCGGCGTGAACCGGAGCGTGCACGAACTGAGGACCGCCCCCGCCCGAGTCGTGGTGGTGGTGGTGGTGGTGGGCCGGGGCCTCTTTCCCCCCGACACAGCCCATCTTGGTTCGAAAGGGCCTTAAAGGAAGTCACAGATGCGTTTGTTTGTGTGCGTTCCGAGGTGTGTTCCGGAAGTGGAGATTGGCGAGGAAGGACGTAGCAGATCCAGCAGGGATTTTTTTTTTTTTTACGTGGGGCGTCAAGATCAGGGTAGTCAAGATATCATGCTGGTAGCGATCTGGAACAAGAAACAGAAATGAAGAAATTGAGTTGGAGTGTGAGGAGTGGTTTTGGTTTTTTGGGGGTTTGTTTGGTTGCTTGTTTATTTTATCATTTCTTTTTCTTTTATAGTTCAGTTTGAGCAACAGTTTTACGGCACTTGCAACACAAATTAAATAGGTCATGGAAGCGCGATCTGGAACAACAAAAATATGAAGAAACTGAGTTGCTAAATATGTTAAGTTTAGTTTCAGTAATTTTTGCGGCGCTCGCAACTGCATAAGGTCATATGAGCGTCAAGGAGTGGATGTCAACAGAGAAGTCCAAACGGGGAATCAGACTTACTCTGCTCACCTCTCTCACCTCAACAGCACCATCAAGGCACCCCGGAAATAGCAGTTCACAAGAGAGTGACAAACATACAAAAGAAGTAGAGGAAAATGACGATAGTGAGGACGAAGAAGGAAAAAGCACCAGTTTCCCCTATGTTGTTCCGGCACAGTATGAGCCTGACATTGATAAACTTTAATAAATCAACCTATTTACAATTCTACTGTTCATTAAGAATACGTTTGTTTCAGTGAAGAGAAGCACATCGACACAATAACATATATATTACGCTTTAGTAACACCTTTACTCTTCGGGAGTTACATGACCCTATTGTGTTGCAAGTGCCGTAAACCTATTACTTTAAAAAAAACACCCAAAAACTTCTTTTGCGTGCGACATCACAGCGACCCACAGAAAAAGCAGCAGTTCCCCCTACGTTATTCTGACACAGTAATGACATTGTGGCGTCGGTGGCCTAGTGGTTAGGCTCTCGGACTCGCAACTGCGTAAGGTCGTGGGTTCGAATCCCGTCAGGGGCCCGACGTTGTGTCCTTGGGAAAGGCACTTTGCACAAATTTTCCTCACTTCACCCAGGTGGAAATGGGTACCCGGCTATAGACTGTGAGCGTATTGTCAGTTTGATAGCGTTTGAGCGCGTGAAATCCGCAGCTTGCACTATATGCTTCCGCGGAAGCCGAGAATGTTTCCGAGTGTTCTTAGAGGGTGTGCCGGGGTAATAATAGTTGTAAAGCGCATAGAGCATGCTCTTGAGCATGGATATGCGCTATATAAATGCAATTCTTATTTATTGATAAATCAGCCCAATTTACAATTATTATTCTACTGTGCATAAGAACGTGCTAATATCCCCCTTTAGGAATGGCCTAAAGATAACGTCAGTCAGTAGCACTTCCCTGATTGGGGGGGGGGGGA